GCTGGCAGGGGAATTCTGGGAGTTGAAGACCACCCAGCTTAAAGCGGCCAAGGTTGAGAAATATTGCTATAGGGTATCATTGCAAGACCTTTCCATGATTTATCCATTTTGATTCTTAGATCTCTGTATTTAAACTTTTTTTTCCATTTCTTTTCATTTGCATTCCTGGTATAGAGGATAAGCTCCATCTAGACACATCCATGGATATTCCTGGGCTTCCAACCTAATTTCAGAAGCATGGGCATCCATAGAGGAGGTTAAAAAAGTCAAGATGGTGCCTGTAATTGGTCATTCTAATCCCTGCCTCTTTCTGAGGCACACACACAAAAAAGGGGGGGGGGTTCAATTGCACAGTTGTGGCCACCGTCTTGACTTTTTAACCCCCCTGAGCATTGCTGGTGTGTTCTTATAGCTCCTTTCTCGTTCAAAATCTGAACACACACACACACACGCACTTCCTCCAATGGTCATCCAAAAACGCGGCAGGAAACTGTTGCAGTTCTCTGACTATTCTTTTTATTAGAACAACACATAGGGCCCCACTGGGCCTGGAGAGCAGCTGTTTAGAGCTAACAATTGCCAATGGCATGTTATGCATCACTAGGGATCTATTCTAAGCATCAGAAACATCGTCGGGAAGCAGAACAGATGTCTGTGGAAATCGGCTGCAGTGGCCCAGCCACCAAGCCTCCTAGGAAATGTAAAACCATGAGGAGATCTGCGTCACCCTGCAACCCGGCTCCTTTGCAGCAAGGAAAGCTAACGATATGAATGCAAAATAGCACCCATTCAAGACATTAGGTAAACATAAATGAGGTAAACAAATTAAGAATACCATCACCACAGGGAAAGGTGGATTCTAACGGGAAGGAATTCTCAATGGGAACCAGCAACTTATTTACAGGCATGTCTTTTCTTGTTATGTTTCAGAGTTTTATTTTATTTTTGCAGTCATGTTTGTGTTCACACGTGATCTTTTTCTTCAGCTCATTCCTGGTTTATCTCCACTCCTCATTAAAATAGAGAGAGAGAGAGGGAGAGCAAGCATCACTAAATTGAAAGCAAAAGAAAACGGAGGCCAGTACGCTGTCTGTGATGGGAGAAAAATACAATGACAGCAACCATAATGAATGAATGTGGGGAATGGATTATGTACATAGTTAGCCTAAATAATCAGTCACCTTCAAGTGAGGAGCAGAATCCAATGGCAGAGACTGATAAGCACAACTTTCAGAGGTGACTTCCTCTAAAATGGCACCAATCTGAGTCCCCCAAATGGGTCACACGCACCGATTCAGAAGCAATGGAAGTCCCAATCTGAGAAGGAACATCCACCATGTTCTCAATGAAAGTGATGTCACAGTCTAAAACCCACAACTTATATGGGCAGCACAATCTCTTTTTGAGCTATACCAAACCACACATTTATGAGATTACTAATTGCCATCAAACTACTAGGCTTCAAGAAGTCCCTCTCTTTTCAGTTCCTCTCCCTTGTCTCCAAGTTGAGGGATTTCAGCAGAATTCAGGGCTGCACCATTAAAACGCAAGGGCTCATTTGTGCTTTGTCTCCTGATGGAACAACATCTCGGTGGTTTCCAAGCTCTCCCAATTTCAACTATCTGATAGTCACTTACTGTTTTGCTATCTTGTTCATTGCTGGACATAACCTTATTACAAGCCACTTTCTTATGGCACTGCTCAGCAAGCCTCTAGATCTTCCAAATAAATTAATTCCATGGAATACATATAACTGTACGAGCGCTAAGGTCATAACTGATTTTTCATGCTAATGAATTAAATGTGCATCGGTCTCTGCCTATATTATGTTTACTTCTCCCATTTTGCACTGCAGCCAGACATGACTCTAAAGTAGGTCTTCCAGAATGATGTTCTGCTGCAAAAGGATTCATTCCAACCCAGCAGAAATGTAGGATTGTGGCTTAACATTTGCAAAAAATGTTAACAATGCCAAGGTGGGGGAATAAAGTAATGATCAAGGTAAAGAAAATGATCAAGATCACAGAGTATCTTTTGATGACACAACATGAATTGGCCTGGTTTCACAGCAAGGAAGCATGAAACGTTACCATGGCAGAGTTCATTTCTTGAGAAGAGGAATACACAGAGGAGGCACCTTTGCCTTTCAATACATGAGCCAGAAACATGTGCTCAGTCTGATACAGCATGCCCCTTTTTTTAGATGCAAAAGTTTCACTATAGCTATGGAAAATGCTGTTACCTAAAATGGCTAACAAACTGCTCACATTTATGTCTGGGAGGAAAGACACGTGATAAGCGCCAGTGTACAATCAAGAGAAAGTCATACCCATGTATAGTTTGCTTACAGAATCAAAAAACACCCCAAGAGACACTTCCCCCATTCCCATAGTTGTCCATTTAGAAATATTGTCTAGAAACAATGTTCCGTGTTTATAGGGTCAGGGAAATTCCCTTCGTTTAAGAACAATAACAGGATAGCAAAATAGTTGCTTTGTATGTTACAGAAGTGGTAAGGGGGACACTAGTGACATCTGTAGGAAGCCATCAGTCAGTTGGTTGCTTTGCAAACCATCCAGGAAGTCCAGGCATGGATCAGCGTGAAGAGTCCCAGCTGCCCCTGCAGTGAGTCTGAGTCTTGGACAGGGTTCTCCGAAAAGGGTGCTTTCTGCATGTGACCGCATTTTTCCCAACTACCATGGAACATATCAGATTGACAACATTTGGCCTAGAATTAGGCTGGTGTCTCAGTTTGGCTCTTCAGACACAATCATATGCTGAACCTATCTGAATCATCTGTTTTCCCTGTTAGCTTGCCAGCCATGGAGAGGTAGAACTATCTTGGATGGTTTGGGAGTGGATATTGGCTATCTGTGAATGACGCCCAATTATCCTTCAATTGATTTCTGTGGCAGGATGTTGATCTGCAACACAGTCTAGGATTTACTGCATTTGGCTCTATTAATTTGTGGTGGTGGTGGTGGTGGTGATGATGATGATGGTGATGATATAGGAAAGTTTGACTTTGGACCTGTTTCATATGACAAAACTGATACAAACTAAGAATCCAAGATTGTTTATGTCTCCCTTGCTTCTAACACACTCTCAAGGGTTGCATCAAAAAAAAAAAAAAAAAGCTCCACCAGATTATTTGAACAATCAAGAGTATCTAATGGGAGTTGCCATCTCAGAAACGTTGACTAGGTAAACAAGTTATGGTTTCAATTTATAGCCAACTTTGCATTTATCTTCCACTTACTCAGCTCAGTCCATCTCCTGTGGCTTGTGGCTTGTGGCTTGTGGGGGATAATGTGGGGGAAGAACTCCCATGTAAGCCACCTTAAGCTCCAAGAGAAAAAGTAACTCTAAAGCTGTTACAATAAGAAACAAACGCGGCAGCCCCATTATATGTACCCTAGAGATTCATGTTATTGTTCAAAAATAGAATGGTTAGTTTCCCATATTCTGCAGTCTGTGGTGATCTGCCATGGCTATCGTTCTGAACAAAAAGTGGCTCATGAATTAAAAATGAAGAATGAAGTCCTCTAGTAAGTGTGTAGATCAGTGTTTCTCAACTTTAAGATGTGTGGACTTCAACTTCCAGAATTCCCTAGCCAGCATGGGAAAAAGCATGCTCACTGGGGAATTCTGGGAGTTGAAGTCCACACATCTTAAAGTTGCTAAGGTTGAGAAATACTGGTGTAGATGTTGTGAATTCTCTTTGTTCCAGTACAAGTGCTTGTGTACCATTTCTGTGGAAATAACATAATCATCCTTCTCTTTGCTTTGACTGGAAAAAGGAACAGCTGACTTTCCAAAACTGTTAATTCTACATGGCTTTGTATGTAGAATAATGATTCCCAACCTCTAATCTCAGGAAAAGTGATAGTCCATAAGAAGACTGCAAGTCATCCCTGCCATGGGCACCAATATAAACTTATTTTTAAAGAAACTATTAAAAATTTAGAAGTTCCCCATAAATCTGGGCATCCCTGCTCCAAATCTTGTACAATTTCAGGTGGGAACACCAAAGTCTCATAAGATTTGGCAATCTTGTGAGGTTTGGGCCATTTAAAATAATTAATTTCTTATTTAATTCTGGGATCCTGTGGCCACTATGCTCGATGGTACCTGCAGACATCATGTTGCTGATCTCTTGCTTATGTGATGGTCTCGGAAGCTTTTTATAATGATTTTGGGAGACACACATAGGCTTCCATAGCTAGCCAGGATGATGCCAAAAGGAGATATGTGCTGTGATGTTACAACATAAGCTCCATCCCTTCATACTTGCATCACAACATTGCATGCATGTATGTCAAGGGCGGAGCTTACATTGTGGTATGTTTTTCATCACTTGCCCCTACCATACTGACTACATGGCAGTTCAAGGCGGATACTTTTTGAAGAGACTGAGAAAGGCTGCAAAGGAAGAGGTGGTGGAGGTAAAGTTAACTGGACTCCGAGAAAGTAATTCTTGCGAGTCATCAGGTTGTAGAAGTGTTTGGTGTGCCATTTTTGAACTTAATCCACAGCAATATGAACACAGCCATCCATTCTCTTGGGAGTCAAAATGGCTCGACCACATCTGCTATGCCATGAGGTCTGCTTCACATTCAAGAAAAAGGAAAAATCCAAACTAGGAATAAAACCGAACTGGAAAATAGAGAAAGAGTTACACTTCAGGCTCTCCAGGAACTTTGTGATCAGCCAAAAAACAAAAATAGCAAAGCTAACTCACGCACAGCATGTGGCGCTTGAAGAAACTAGGGGGGGAGGGCATCAACTGCTGCACCTTGTTGAGATGCAAAGTCTGGTTTGTCTTTTGTTTTCTTTAGTTTCTGCCCCTCTGCTTTTTTAAAAATTTGGTTTTGCTGCTCTGGAGTTGCCAGATGACCAGATATTGTCCTTCTTGCTCCTATGAGGTCAATTCTTGAAGAACGTCAACGCAGCTCTCTTGATGTGTCCTGAGAAAAAGCTACTGGGCATCCATTTTCTCCTTACTGCAAGGATCCCCGTGCATTATAGAAGTCTGGGACTGGCAGGCCAGTGTGAAGTGTTACCTGTAACCAAGGACAGCTTGGACAGTGTTCAACCTGGATAGCATTTTAAATCACTTTTTCATTAGATAGGTTTTGCTTTCCCATGCTCGCAGAACTAACTGTCAATGCACAGACCCACAAATACACACACATTCTTCCCAACAAATTGATAGTGATTCTGTATAAGAACAACAGTTAAATGGGAAGATATTAAATTATACACCAAAATGTTAACTAAGACACTTTAACTCCCCTGGGATTTTGAGGGAGTCAGCTAAACAAGTGCTTAAATTTTTCTTGGCTTGGCCAACTTTGGCTAGATCAAGACCATATTTTTTAATATCCTTTACTGAATTATGCATAGTTACAACTGTGGAATTTTTTATTTTTTTTTAATCCTACAGAAAAGCACAAAAGTAGGTCTTGAGCTAAAATGGTGCCTTAGGAAGTAAAATGGAGAAAGGGATGGAATTTGGAGGAAGTGGAGACTATTTTGGTCCAGAGTACACTTACTATTCGCAGTATGGAACTACCTGCTTTTTTACCCCCCACTCCTCCAAGCTTCCTGATATATATCGTTGTGGAACACTCTTTTGAGTTGAATTTGGGTGGAAGAGTTGCAAAGGCACTGTTCTGAGGGGAATTTAGAAGGATAATAATCCCAGATATCTATTTGGAGCTTCATTTCCCCATGCCTCCTCCCCACCCCCAGAATACTCCATCAAGGTTTAATGTACTGTCAGCTACAGGGAGCAGTGTGGGAAAAATCAGTGGCTTCCTGTTCATGGTAAGAATTTTGTGTAATGGTATGTGGGAATGACCTTGGGAGACAGGAGGAAGAGCCACAGCCGAGACAACAGTCTGATAAACAAAATGTTAGTCCGAAGGAGGAGGGGTGGCGAAAGCACCTCAGAAGGGACCCCCCCTAGTTTTCAGGAGAGTAACAGTGAGGGACAGGAGAGGTACTTTCAGACTTGCAAGTTTCTGTTAATGTAACCTTACAATAAAGTTAGAGGTAGTACTCCTGGTTGTGCTTCTTGTCTGGATACCTCGCAAGGCTAACATCAATCTTGCAAGTCTGAAAGTACCTCTCCCGTCCCTCACTGTTACTCTCCTGAAAACTAGGGGGGGTCCCTTTTGAGGCGCTTTCGCCACCCCTCCTCCTTCGAACTAACATTTTGTTTATCAGACTGTTGTCTCGGCTGTGGCTCTTCCTCCTGTCTCCCAAGGTCATTCCCACATACCATTACCCTTTGCTGCAAAGCAAATGGTGACAGTCGAAAGGCAAAGGTAAGGTGATTTCCCCCCTTTGCTAATGGTATTTCTGATTTAGAATCATTTTTTGGCCTAACCCTAAATGATACAGAAATGGATTTTGAGTATCAGACTGCACAGTCTGAGAGTTCAGCTTTAATAAGTCCTACAATTGAAATCTGTCTTAAACTTTCCAATATTTGGGGTTCTTGGTGTTTTCTGAGATTAGTTTGCTTGCTGACGTTTCATTACCCAACTAGGGCACTGATGATGTTACCTAGTTGGGTAATGAAACATCTGCAAGCAAACAACCAAGCTCAGAGAGCACCAAGAACTCTACAGTTCAACCCTGAGCTACACATATTCTCTTTTACTTTCCAATATTTCTCTTTTTCAGCTTAACACTTTGACCACTAGGCAGCCAAATGTTACGTCCATTTAATTTTCTAATTTGCCTCTGACATAGTGCCTCTCGGATATTTATTTATTTATTTAAATATTCATTCAATTTATATAGCCTTCCATCTCACTTTTACGTGACACTAGGCGGCTTACAATAAATAGATATTGTGGGAGAGTACCAGCAAGATCCAGCTTCCTAGCACTATTCATAACAAACCCACTACTAATCATTCTTGCATGCCTTGTCACCAGTAGAAGAGGAGACCAGGGAATCTTGTCTCCTTTAAATCTGGAGCTGTCTTGGCATATCATAAGCTGGGATGGAGGACTGTTGTTGGGCTCTACCTCCCTCAGTCTCAGCCAGCGTGGTCAAAAGGAAGTGACAGTGGCAAATAACACTGCTATACCTCAGGTTCTTATTCATGGTCTAGGCCAGGCTTCCCCAAATTCTGTGTGTTCCAGATGTGTGGAGTTATTCTTGAAATTTCCAGCCAGCATAACTATTGCTGATCCTGGGAATTGAAGTTTATACATGTTGAAGGTGGTCAGTTTGAGGAAGATTGTTCTAGGTCTTCTGCTTCACTCCTTTTTTTTTCATCTCAGCCCTGCATTTTATTCCTCCCATTCTGTACAGCTGCTATCTATCACCATTGCCACTGCATACCAAGACAGCCTCCGAATGGCATTTCTGAACCAACCAGATCTCATCCCATTCTTACTTGCACATTCCGGTTGAGACTGACAGCAGGAAAGAATATGCCCTCCAGGTTCTCAAAGGCCACTGGTCCTTGCTGATCTTCATTGATAGAGAAGGTCAAGGTTCTCCTGGTCAAATCAAGCAAGATGCCTACAGTAGCACCTTTGGTGATACCTCCTTCAGTCCTTTTGAAAAGAAATGCCAGTTAGCATCTATTTAATTCACACTCCTCTGCCAAATTAAAGGTGGCTTAGATGAGTGGCCATACATTTTGTTTTCACAACAGTTCTGAGAGATAAGTCAGACTTAGAGATAATGATTGCCTCTGGTTACCCAGTGAGACCTATGGCGCAATTAAGATTTAAACCTGACTTTCCACAGTCCTAGTTCAATGTTCTTCACCACTATTGCATGTTGACATTTGAAGGATCATCCTGCAAGCACATCCAAGTTGGTCTTTTAGATGACATGGCTCTTTGTGGAGAACATATGTGTTCCACTAACAGAGGAATGTGTATCATGACTAAATTGCTTAAATGCCCAACGGACATACCCACTGTGTCTGGTTCAGTGACTGCACTGTAGGTGAGCTGAAAAATCTGAAGCAGAATTCAGCATTGGCTTGTTCAGTGAACTTCCTAAACAGTGGCTTCCCGAACAAGCTAGAATTGATTGTGGTAACACATGCCTTAGTTACATCAAAATTGTATGTCTACAGTGGTCTCCACCTGGGGCTGTTTTTGGAGAGTCTTCAGATTTTTCTTGGTCCAGAATGTAAAAAGTTAGTGGGGATGTGCCCATTGGACAATATTATACATTGCTTCAGGCTGAATTCAGAACTTTAATAATTATTCTTAAAGCCCTAAATCAGCTGAAGACTGATTTACTCACTCTTCAGCTGATTTAATTCACTCTGCCTGGGAATTATGATATTTGAGATCCACAGACCCATACACAAAATCAGTTGGGACAATCTACCCACCAAGGGTAGAAATATGGAAGAGGGTGAAAAAAGGGTAAGACCTTCTTAGTTGCTGAATAATATTTATCTTATGGAGTTTAGGTCGTCCCTAGTTCTCATTTCATCAGATGAGGAAAGACAATTTTATTCCCGCAAGCTTTTGCTGAGCTAAGTGCCTAAAATTTTGTTTAAAGATTGCCTCTTATCTTCTGGCTATGCCTTGTTGCATTTTTATTGCAAGTGGAGTTTGGCCTCAAGAAAATAAAAGCAGGCTGAGCATATGTTAGACTCTCCTGCCAAGGTGGAAGCCAGATCAAGGTCCTTTCCCGTGGAATGGGTTCTGGATCTCGGCAAGTGACCCACCAGACTGGCTCCCTTCTAAGAAGCCTTGAACTGGAGACTCTGTACTCTTTCCTTTCTGTCCCCCACCCCAGGAGCGGGGAACTTTTGGCTTGTTCTCTGATGCTCTGAAACTTCTCCACTGTAGGTAGCAAATGGTGATACTGTAGATTCAAATTTGAATTTCCCAGTTCAGCAGGAATCAAGTGGGTCAGGGAACAGAGTTCCCTCTGATCCAAGAAAGCTGCTGACTTTAGCCTGGTTAGAATTATTTGGCCTAGCACATGATGGACTCTCCTGCTCAGTAATACAACGTTGTATGCTTTGTATGAAGAAGACTGAGTCCCTCATCCCCAGATATTTTAATTAAAAAGGTTTCAAGCGGACAAAACAAGAACAGAACCAATTTGGAGCCAGGTACCTGTTGGTATGTGAGTTGTTATGCATGAACCAGCTCCGGTTATTATCCACATACATGGCCCAAGCCTTGTCATCTTTCCCTAGCATGACGTCCTTGAGAACATCCATCCGGGCAACCCCAAAAGCTGGATCTGGGTGGTTGTCATAGCGATCGATGGATAACTCCCAGTAATGGAGCCCCTTTGAGAAGCCAGTTTTGCCCAACACAACTCGGTCATCGTAGCTGTTGCAGGTAACTGTCAGGTTGTCATTGGAGAAGATGATGTCGGAGTGAGCAGTGCTGGGGTCAAACGAAAACCAAGCCACTGCAATGCACACAAGTGTTGAACAGTTATCAGTATGACTGTGATGGTAAGCAGAGACACACAGCTGGTGTAAAAAGCATTGCATGCTGCCATGCAAGGGAGGAATTTGGGTCTGCATTCAGTCAAAGATCCCCCAAGAGGGTTTTGCTGAGTGCTTCTGCAATAAATCCAAAAAGTGGGACAGAGAGGCAAATTGGGTTGGCTTAAAAAGCAAGAAGGAGTGGAAAATGTCTATTCAGAGAAGCCTCTGCTAAAAAGCTTAAGGCTTAGTGAATGGAAGAGCTGAAATGAAATGGAAGCCACCAAGAGCCTGGCTGCATATTGTACCACTCACCATGTGAAGGATATCACATATCAGCAGCAGGAAACTAGGGTGTGTGGAGCTAACATACATAATGATTAACATGGGAGGATTCTATCTGTGGATCATAGAATCATAGAGTTGGAAGGGGCCATTTAGGCCCCTGAGTTCAACCCCTTAATCAGTGCAGGAATCTATATTAAAATGCATCCTACAGTCTCGACTTAAACACACCCTCTCTAGTAATTGGTTCCATTGTTAAACTGTTCTCCTTTGGAGATTTAGTGTAATATTTAGTGAACAGTTTTAGAAGAAGCCATGAACACACAGCCCCGGGTATATTGCAGATACCCACGTTAAATCAGGCTCTGTAAATTCATAGATCAACCTTTCATTCAGTATGTGAGGAAATGGATTCTGGTTCTCAGACAGAAGCACAAAACAACACCATTGAACTCAATGTTGAGACTTTGCAGAGTTCTGAATGTTATTCTATTCTGTTGTTTTTAAAAGTCCTTTTTTTAGGTGGCACCAAGAAAGATAATAAATATTTTAGACCTGGCAAGACTTCAGATGGTGATGAGCCAAGAGTTTTTCAGAAGTGAAAAAGTCATCTCCTAAAACAACTTCTAGGTGCACCTCAAACAATGTAGAATCATCCCACAAAACCTCGTCATTTGCAGCTATATATACTTCATGCATGTCAGTCAGTGTTCAAATCTAGGACTTGGTACTGGAAACAATTGTAATGCTAAGGCTACATGAGGTGTTCAGCTACAGAGCTGGAATGGAGAAATATATTGAGGGCAGGGGAGAGGCAGTTTGCAGAGTGGAATACTAAGGAGAAATGGTAGGTCCTGGAGAGGTCTTAACACTCCTGGCCACCTTTTCTCCTTACAACTGCCTTCCTGACCCTATAGAGCTGTTATGTAGCTACTTAGCAAATTCCCCCCGCATAGTTGAAAAGACACCACCTTGCCTACAACACAAGAGGAACTTAATTCTCTGAGCCATGCCACGAACATGTAGAATAAAACACACATATCCAGTCAACGCCAATCAATGCAATTTACCTATACACAAACATACACACACATTTTCCCCATGCACCCAAGAGAGTTCATACCTGCTACCATTTTTTTAATATCAACTGTTGTCATTCCAAGTGGAATGCATGAAGGAGAATAAACAATAAGTGAAATTGGCATTTATACAGAGACCAAAACCTCCAATTGTGGTCTTTACAATGTTCAGACATGGATGTATCTGTTAACTGCATCATTTCTCTCTTACAGAGAGAAGCTCTGCTTCCAGAGCTGCTCCATCAATTTGGTGATAACAAAAATCCTGTGTAATTATACAAAAGGAACAATGAAGACCACACAGCTGTACAGATGAGAAGGGAAAGGTATGGGCAAATCAACTGTAAAGCAGGATCTGGATTGTTTGGATCATCTGCCTTTCCAAAAACTCTTTCAGAACCAAATGAGAATTGAACACTCCTCTGTTTCCATATGATTCAATAAAAAGAAAATTCAGGCCCCAATTTCTTTATTGCAATAGCCGAATCCAAGTTCATGGATTCAAACTCAAATTCCTTCTGGACTGCCTTTCAGTCAATGTGGGGTAAAGATCCACCATTTATAGCTACGTTCATTGGCCAAAAGTGGACTCAGGGGTTGAAAAGGAACCCTGAGCCATTACATCTTGGTGGCAAACCACTGTCTTCTTGAGGCATTGGAAATTTTACATTTTCTTGGCTTGTTACAGCTGATCACTACTTTTCCCCAGCCCTACCTGAACTTCCAGTCTGCAAACTAAATATGAAATGTATTTCACAGACTTGGCTCCTTGATTGCCCTTGCCTGTGCTTGCTTTGCTTCCTAATTGTGTAGGCTTCTCACTGTAGAATTCCACAGCTCTTATGCCATTCATTTCCCTATACATGTGTGCTTGGATTTTTGCTTTCCACTCTGAGCTACTATTCTGAATATCCCACTTAGATGACCTAATCATTAGAAAAGCCCCAAATCTCTAGGGAACTAAACCTGTCTCCCGTGGAGGCCCTGACACCAAAAGACAATTCAGGAGCCATTAGAATATAATAAGAGAGTGCAGTTCCACATGTATGTAGGAAGCATGCATGAAGCTCTGGCCACTGAAATGAATGAGGGAGAGTATTAACTAGGTTGTGTATCCATTGGACCCTGATGCCTGCTCTCTCCAACAAACTAACCCTTGTGATTTTCCAAGTCTCTCTCACTCTGAAATCTCTCCCTGGAATAGTGCATCTCACAATCATCACACACTGTAGCAGAACAGACATTGTCTCAGACTGAATGTAGGTCTTTGTACAAACAAGAAAGTTGGAGAAACAAGAGACCAGAACAAAGGCCACATCACTGAAGTGGAACAAATATACTTGCCTAATTGGGAGAAAGGTCCTGACTGAGCCTCAAAACCTATAAAGAGATACTACATTTCACACGTTGACACCAAGAAATTGCAACCAGACGCAGGCAACAGAGAGTGCTTGCGTTTATCAGCTAAACAAGCAAATTGCCAGATTCACTCCAAAGGCTGAAGACCTGGTGCAAAAACAGAGCTGTCTGCACAGGGCTGGGGGGTGGCCTATGGGTGTGCCCCATGAACCAGGACAGCCAGAATTCCCATTTGGGTCTTGGAACTAAGTGGCAGCAGGATCAGAACAGACCAAGGAAATTGTTCTTCACATTGTGCTTCATTAGTTTACTGAAGCTGGAGTGGATCAGTGGAAAGTCTTAGCCATGTGAAATGGAACTGCCACATTCAATGGCAATAGTCCCAAAATATCAATTGCTAGAGGAAGAGAACACCGAATGGCTGAGGCTTTGCTTGTAAGGCTTCCCCAAGGCATCTGGCATGTCTCTATAATGGAATGAGATGCTGAACTGGATGGAATGAGCTGTAGAGTTTGATGTTCTTAACACAGAATACACTGGGAATTTCTGCTTTTATATCCTCCCCCTCCCCCTCCCCCAATTAATATTTTCCAATTAAAGCAGAATTAGAAGAAGTTCCACCTCTTTCTCTACCACTCTTACGTACTTTGCTATTTGTTTTTTTCTGAGCGTAGACTTGGAAACAGTAATGTATGCCAAAGTAAGCAACAGTATGCATAATTTAGTTTGCATAAATATGTGATTAGAAATGTGGCTGCAGAATTTTGCACATGGATATGGAAAATGCACACAGCCCTGTTTATAAGGCTCCCACAAGGCCTTTTAAACCATTTTGGACCTCTACCAGCTTGGAAAATTATGAACTCATATATTATACAGTAGAGCCAGATTGGTCTAGTGGTGAAGGCACCAGGCTAGAAATTGAGAGACATGAGTTCTAGTCCCGCCTAGGCACAAAGCCAGCTGGGTGACCTTGGGCCAGTCGCTCTCTCTCAGCCCTGGGAAGCAGGCAATGGCAAACTGCTTCTGAAAAAATCTTGCCAAGAAAACAGGGACTTGTCCAGGCAGTCTCTGAGAATCAGACACGATTGAATGGAATATATATTCCATTCAGTTGTGTCCATTCAATCGTGTCTGATATATTACAGTACATTTTCTCCATAAAGAACACAAAGAGCAGCACACATCTTCAGTTTAGGAATGAGGCCCTCCAACCCCATCCCCTCACACTTTGTGCCCCACTTTAATACCAGACTACTTGCAAAATATATAAACTCCACATACAGGAAAATGGGGAGAATCATTAACACTAAGTACACTGGACAAGAGATCAAAACGTTCAAGTATGAAGATGTTGAAAGCCAAGGCAATGGGATGCAAAACCCATAGAAGCACAACGGGGAAACAATATAACAAAGAGAACAAAGGCCAGATGGTGGCCCCTTGGTGTAGCCCAGCAACTGAAATGCTGCATCATTCCTCCTTTGAAAGAATGGAGGTGCCAGAACTATGCTCCTTTGCTTATGCCAATGTCAGGCAGAGGCCAATGGAGTTATACTGGTGTAAGCTAGTGATGCAGGAGAATCCAAAAAGGAAAGGAAAGGCAAAACACTGGTTATTGTGCAGAGCTGACCATAACTGCAGAGGAACCTCAACTTTGCTTAAGCCTCAGTGCAAAAATTAAGAGCCGATGGCTTCTTATAGTCTTGGGAACTTCAATGGTGTGACTGTGAGCATCAATTTGTCCACACGCTCTTCCCTTAGGGCCCACCAGGCTTTCTGTCCTACCTGCCTTTCTTGTTTTATGACTCACTGTGGCAACCATTTAATGCTGAAAGCACTGCCCCCAGCTCTGCCATAGAGCCCACCACATATTCTGAGCATTCCACATGCGCCTGCTGACTTAAAAGGTTAGAGACCTCTGGGAAAATCCAATAATGCTTCAAACCTCAGAAAGAAGCAGAGGGTTATGAGTTCAAACAAAAGCACAGAGCCAGTATCTAGAATTGCTTTCCTTGTGGGTCATCCTCTTGCTAAAGATTGAAAAATGATAGGATTTGGCACTGTGGCATGATTCCTCACTATTTTAAGGGACATATTCTCATTATGTTGCCTTCATCTCATTCCCAGCTTAAAATCATGCTTTTCCACTTTTCCAGGCACATCTTTTGCTGGGGACGTAATGTACAGCAGTTCCTCAAGTATATGGTTGATGACAGGGTCAGGGAGTGGGATCTGCCCAGTTCCTATTGGCCCCTTTAGGTTTCTCCAGGCCCTCCGTTGCCATTTTTGATTTGGACTGGAGAGGATCCTGGACACCTGGCTTCCACAGAGTTATCTTTCTACAAAATACCTGACTGGCCCTTCAGAATACATGGGTTTAGTGCTCTCTTGAAAGAGCACTAGACCTATTTTTAAGCACAGGTTTACCAGTTTTTTGAAAGAGTGCTAGATCTGTATTTTAAAAAACAGTGTTAGTTCTGTATCACACAGAAAGTCTGGGAAGGAGGGCTGGGTTTTGCTGGTTCTGTGCAATGAGTGCATTATAGGTTTTCTTCTGGTTCTGCTGAGAAGAGCTTTTGCATGGCTATACTTTGACCTCTTTTTATTACTTTGCCTATATCTGTGACAGTCTGCTTATTCTTTCCAAGTTCAGCCAGCAATGGCCATTCACTCCAGCCCTGATTTTTCCTTGCAGTACTTACCACTTTGGGATAAGTGTGTGAGAGCAATGTCAAGTTTATTATCCTCTTGCAACTGAAATCTGGTATGCAGAGGGGCCCATGTAAAAAGAATTGGGGTGAAATTGACAAGAATGACATGGCAGAGATGAAGTGAAAGAAGGTACCCCAAATGTTCTCCACACTTTCTGACCTGTTAGGTTATTTTTGAACACAAGTCGAGTGGTCTTTCTGAAGACACTAAACTCATGTTCAAAAATAGCCTGACTAACCGATGCAAACATGCCCTATTCCTCCAGCTTGTCACATGGGAAACTTAAAAGGTAGCTAAGCTCTCCATCCCAGGCACTCACCTACCACCAACCACACCCCAACACATTAATGAGAGTGACTGGTGGTTATTTTCCTGAACGTTCTCCAAGGCCTGTGGGAAGCTGACATATCTTGGAGAACCCTTCTGCTCCAACATTTTGTTGTTGTAGCCATGAATGGCAAAGCCATAAGTGATTGGAAAAATCACAACTGATTGGTTTCATACAACACATTAAAATGTAAATCATAATTTCCAATTACCATTACTGTATTATGGCTTACTATGTTTATTACTACATGTTTGTGTAGTATTCCATTACTGCCTTATGACTTAGCATCTAAGTCAGAGTCAGACTTAATCCTGAACACAGTGGGTGGCCTTGGTCAAATTACTCTTAGTTACTCATCTGTAAAATGGGTATATTGATGACCAAACTATGTTTTCCATTCAATATGCACATTTTTAAAAATGCCAGTAGTATCCTTTAGGGAACTACTTCGTATGGGGAATCACTGCAATACAGAAAGGAAGTTTAATTCTTTTTTCCCCTGGTGAGAATATAATGTGAATTCTTCCTTCCAAGCTTACACAGTGTTTGGCTCTAAGATCCTTTTCCATAGATTCAAAGCAGTTTTAAATGAATTTCTGAATAACTGAACACTTAATAATCATATGAGTAATAGCACATATGCGTATGCATCCCAGAGCATACCACCATTTTGGATGCAATTAAATCCAGCAGAAATTAGCCAATAAAAGTTAAATGGATCATGCTTGATCTAATCTGGTCTTATCTCCTGATCCTTCCACAAGTATTAGCAACCTCAACCCTTTCAAGAAAAGAGAGAAAAAGCATATTCCAAGCATTTGGCCAAAACATTTCTTTAAAAAAAATTGTTTGTGCATGTGGTTTTGGGAATGTATCAAGATGAGTTGTGCTTCAGTCTGGACCCTCAGCAGATGCAGTTCTACCAAAACTGTCCTCCCAAGAAACCTTCAACTCATAAAAATAATTTGAGAATTAGGCCTGTGTGGGTAAATAATGGAATGCCCACCACTAGACTGCATTTCAGCTGTAATGAGGAATGGTTCCCCTTGACCTCTGGGGTGGAAAACAGAGAAGACATAAAAGCCATATCTTTCTTCTGCTCCAGATTCTTATGGTGGCTGTAATATCAAGAATGAGTTATCAATCTTGCCCTTCTTCTAAAGTTTTCCCAAAGGCAGCCTTCTCAAATGTGTCCCATAGACAGATCTTATCAATATCTACAGAAAAAAGAGAAAGGAACAACTTGGTCTCTGTGCCTACAATATATGTATGGGTACTCTATATACAGTAGGAGGATGCCAGAAATAAAGGGAGTGACTACATAATGATAACTTCTGCATCTTATTATCTCAAGTGGTATCTTAGAAATCATTAGTATATCTAAGCCACACAGCAAGCAAAGGAAAGGTTATCAGCTGTAAAAAAATGCCAAAATCCCTATTACAGTGTTGTCCAAACTTGGCCACTTTAAGATGAGTGGACTTCAGATGGCTGGCTGGGGAATTCTGGGAGTTGAAGTCCACTCATCTTAAAGTGGCCAAGTTTGGACAACACTGCCCTATTAGGTTTAAACATTTATTAGGCTAACTCTGAGGTTGCAAAATAGAAATCTGGAACATTTTTGGTGACCTACAAGTTTGCCTAATACAGTTGCCTAATGTAGATTTTGGAATCAATATATATATTCTAAATGTAATCTGCACCTTGACAATTTGCATATGTATGTCTGTGGATGTGGACATGGGGAGGGGGGAGAAATGGAGCTTTCTTAATTTATGGAAGACAAACTGCGAACAAGGGATCCGTGCCTATGCAGCCAGCCTGACAGAAGCAGCTACTTCACGAGTTCTACCAGGTTCTCTTGCTCGCTCGCTAGTGCATTTCAATGTACTACAGCCTTGTTACGTAGAGACAAACACGTCACACATCTACATCATCAGTCTCCTCCACAGTGGAAAGCAGCAGGCCACCAACAACACAGAACACTTGATCCCATCTCATATGGATGTCATGGGCAGGATGGGGGCAGGAAAAGGGGACCCCCCCAAAAAAAAATCCAAAAAGGAAAGCAAAAGCAAAAGCAAAACAGCAACAAAACAAGAACCAGACCCTGAAACAAAAACGTCCAGAAGCGCAGCTCAAGAGGCAATTGCTAAGCGTGCTCGGCTCACCCACCGGCCGAATTCAGAGATTGTAAAGAGGAGTGCAAACTCATTTGGTGGGACGAGGATCTTAGCTCAAAGTAGGATCTCCCCGGAAAGCTGTTTTGCAGGTTAAGGGTGGAAGAGAAAGGACTTGATCTACGCAGTGGCAGCCTTTCCAAAGGCACTGGGAAGGTCAGGGCCTGCTCCTCGGGTTCGGAGTCTAAATGTAAGATCAAGGCAAACTCAAGGTCAGAACTCGGTTGGTATACTGTATGCCATTACAAAGACATGTTACCACAGCCACCACTGGTGTAAATGCAATGAGATAGAAGGGATTGATGTTCGAAATAATAACTAAGATTGCGATTCTGGAACAGAAAACATGAAATGTCAACTCCCTGGTGGGTATTTACAGAGCAACCGCCAAGCTCTTGATAAGAACTACCCCCCTCCCCATTAACATGCATGTATTAAGATATTACAGAAGGGGTAGCAAAGTTAATTAGTACAGGGTTTATTCCACTACTTCCCACACAAATCTCTGGTGTGTTTTCCAGTTCCTACTGTTCCTATATTTAAGAATGAAGAGATTTTGATGATAACTAAACTAGAAGAAAACAACATTTCTTTTACACTACTCTGATTTTTTTAAAAGCCTAAGTTGTGAAAGTTCCATTTTTTTTCTCCAAAAGTTGTTCAACACTCATTTTCTTTAGAAAGAACTGTAAGAGGTTCTTGTTATTGCAACTAACATATTAAAGATAGGGAAGAATTCTGCACAATCACTGAATGTCTGGATTCACACTAAGCCATAGTTTGCTTTAAGCATAGTATACTCAATAAGCTAAAATGGCTAGGTTCACACAACATACTACACCAAAAAAATTACGGCTTGGTTCTATGTCCTAACCAAGCCGATACATCTCACAATAGCAACTGTAACAGGATGGAGAATGATTCTTTAGATGACGAGGATAGGATCAGGTCAGTCCAACATAGTTAGCAGATCAATTTTCTATGCACCATTTCTGTGCAGCATAATCTGAAATGGGTATCCCAGGATCCTTTACAGCAGTGCAGAGGATGGTAGAGCGAAGGACTGTATCTCAAGCACTCAGGAGAAATAATGTCCCTTCTCCACCAATCACTTAACACAATGCCCAGTCAGTGCTCATAACATGCATTTTAAGCATGATTTTACACTGTAATCACAACAGCAATGAATCCATTATTCAGGAGGAGAATGTTGCATTTTCCAATGGCGGACTGATGGACAAACCTATATATTTAAGGGTCTTCTATATTTCAACTAAATCAAGTTTTAGTTTGGCTTTCACTCTACTGAGTGAGTCATTGCTCCATGGAAGATTCATAAACTAAGTTCAGGAAAATAAGGTCTTTACTTGATTGGCCTTCTGTCAGTGCTCCAGTTACACCCACATGACTTCCCTAAGCTCTAATGGTAGATGTTGCTGGAATGCTAGAATTTATTGTCCAGTTACCCCACTTTTCTTGACCTAAATGAGCATGCTTCCTAGAGTCCATATAAAATTTCCCATGGCTACTATTTCCAGGTTTGCTGTAGATACTGTCTCTTATGCTGCTCAGCTTTCATTATCAGGAATTCCAACATGTTCAGTTTATTGACAGTTGCAGGTTGACATTTCTAGTCTGGTACCCTTCTCAATCTCCCTGACCACATAGGAGGAAAAAACAAATTATCAGGTGATCACCAATTTTTCAGTAAGGAGTTTGAATCACTACAAAAGCCCAGACATAAAGACAAATGGCCACATTGGCAACCATTCATTGTTCATGCCTACATATCACAGCTTTCCCCTATGTAAATTGCTCACCACTTTACTTGAAGGGTACGATTATGGCAGTTGTTTGTTCACAAGCACCACCACTGGAGCAACATCTGCCCGCCATGGGAGCTGTCTGAGTCCTGAAATGGCTGATATTACCAGGTTTATCTTACCTGTTTTTAAACCACTGACCCTGTCTATTTCAAAATGGATTCTACCACCTATCAATTCATAACCAAGATAGAACAGGTTAGGGGAGCAAAAATCACAGATTAATGATATCAACAACTGGGAAAATGCAGCACTAAAGGGAGACTTTCCCATATGATATACATATTATTGAAATATTATTGATGCATCATGTCCTCCATCTTTAGGAAAGGAACTACTAGGCTGCATGAGAAATGGATCTTATACTGTGGAAGGGTTCTACATAGCTTTCAGAGCAAGGCCTAATCCTATTCTGAGAAAATGGGACAATATAATTTCAAAGTTGTAAAAAATATTTGTAACAGATATAAATGAGATTTAGTTTTAGTAAAGAATAACACTGGAGTTTTTTATGTCTTAACAATCCACATTTAGGAATGTCTCTTAAGTAATATATAGAAAGAGATTGTATGGCTAAACAATGGAAGGCAAAGATGATAACTTGCTTTATACAACACTGAAATGTTTTTTAAAAGTCCCTGGAACTACTTCAGCTAATTGTCTCTTAAAATATATTTAAAATATTAATTTAATTTAATTTATTAGATTTGTTACAGCCACCCATTGCAGAAGACTCAATTTGGCTTACACAATCAATTTATATTAGGTTTTGGTTGTCAAGGCCAATTATATTCTCTTTTCTATATATCAAGGAGACATATTTAAATATGCAATAAGAAAACCATATTGCTTATTTTCTGTAAAAGCTGTGAGTTTGACACACTTGCACACATTTTGCAATATAAATCTTTGTGCAATAAGTTATTCTGCAAATATTATCCTAAATCAGTCTTTCTCAACCAAAGCCCCCCAAATATTATTGGATTACAACTCACATTTTTCTTGGCTGGGTGTAATGTGAGCCCTAATCTGACACATATGGAGGCCCCAGGCTAGGAAAGGCTGCTCTAAATTGCATTTTGTGTATTCTGATGGAATTTCATAATTCAAATACCAAGCAGTAAATCAAATTATTTATTACTATGTAAGTGGAAGCTAAGGCACAAGAGGCTGCCAAAGTCCAAGAGAGGCCAGGGAGAGGTTAAAGAGAAGTCCAAGAGTTAAAACAAACATACAGACAGACAAAAACCCTCCATGAATTTTGGCATATCCACTTCATGCCAAAAAAAAGAGTGCTTATGCAATTTATTTTAAGAATGAACAAAAAAAGTATCCCTTGAGCCATCTAACTTCCATTGGTTCTCTGGTGCTTTTGGGGTTGTGGGAAATGAGACTCCAACTTGGCTAATAGAATAAGGAAACATAGCTGAAACAAGCAGTACTAAGAAGGGCACAAGGAAGTGACTCTCTCCTTGTTTCCTCATGCGCACATAGAGACATGTTTTATTCCCTGAGAAAATCCTTTCAAAAACCCACACTCACTAGCACTGATGACATTACTTAGTTGGGTAATGAAACGTCTGCAAGCAAACAACCAAGCTCAGAGAGCACCAAGGACTCCACAGTTCCACCCTGAGCTACAGATATTCTCCTCCATTGAAAATCCTTCCAACCAGGACTTACCCTCTGAAGTCTGCAGGACCAATGTCTTGCTGTACAGGCTGACCCCTGTCTTGTTGAAGGCCTTGACTCGAGCACTGTAGGTGCTGTTGAAGTGCAGACCATCCACAGTGCACATTGTCTCCTTCCCAACGTAAACCTCCTAAACACCAAACATACAAAAACTGCCATGTAGTGGGTTAGATGACTGCTTTTCCAATTTGTCAAGCACTGACTTCTCTGTCTGGCAGCAGTTCTTCCAAATATCAGCAGGAGTTCTCATGTCTCCCAACATGCCATTCTTAAATTTGGAAATACAAGGGGTAAAATCAGCTTTCCCTAACCTGCTGCCTCTTTGGATGCTATTAGAGTACAACTGCCAGAATTTTCAGCCAGCAGAAGGCTGGATTAGATTTCTACATCAGAGGCGAGCTAGTTTTTCCAGGCCAGGGGTGACACTTGGAGTTTGAATGTGATGCCAGGAGCTACATGCCAAAAAACATACAAAGAAAAGGATGGGGATAGGAAAATTCAAGTAATATAAATACTCCCAACTGACTTAATTATTTTCCCCATCTGTCATAGTTAACATGATTTGCTGGCAATTTTTGGAGGGGCTCTGGAAAGCCACATCTAAAGCTTGGAATTTGGGGATTTCAGGTGATGTAGACTTGTCCTACCTATTTTCTATCACTAAGTGACAAAGCTTCATCCTGTGCAACATTGGTAACAGATGGTGAAACCCATGTACACTGACTATTTTCTGCTAATCACAAATGTGTTCCAGAGTTATTTAGAATTAAGCTGAAAAATAATGGCTCTTATTGCATGCAAATTTTCTGTAGCATAGCAGTTGTGAATATTGACTATGAGTTCACAAGCCTCTAGCTCGGTGTTTTTCACATTTGGCAACTTTAAGATGTGTGGACTTCAACTCCCAGATGTTGACTGGGGAATGCTGGGGGTTGAAGTCCACACATCTTAAAGTTGCCAAGTTTGAAAAACACAGCTCTAGCTCAAACAGTTCAGTCAGGTTTGTTCATCAGATAGTCAAATTCCTTTCCACACTCAACTCACCCTTCTTTATTAATTGCTTACCCTGAACTGACCACCATTCCCATCATCCAGCTCCAAGATGTATCCTTCCACCTGCACTGTGGACAGAGGTGGCTGTTTCCATGACAACGTGGCACTGTTGTTATGGGTGCAACATTCTTCCAGTTGAAGGATTGGGGGGGCTGGCACTGGGGAGGAAGCTAAACAAAAATTAGTGTAACCCTGACTTCTACCTCCAGCCAAGATGAAAATCACGGCGTCTGGATTCCACAAGAGTTAGCTTGGTCCTGAAGAAGAGATTTCACTTAATAGCAAAGAGAAGCACTGATATTTCATCTGGAGAACATCAACAGATCTGTGCTGCTGCAAAACTCTGTTTATATATCGTCTTTTGGAATTTTTTTTGAGAAGTTTTCTTTATTATTAGATTGTTGATTCAAAGCATGTCTGAAGACAGTTTTCAGTATTTCTTTACTTGGCAGCCCTGCCTGTTGTGGGTCATTGTGCTCTGGTGCAAAGGCAGCCCAAGAAGAGTCAGATCAAAGATAGAATATGTGGTTGCTGGTTTGGAAGCAGAAGCATGAACTGGCAAGTAAAGAAGTGCTGGTAATATATTTCCTCTTTTTCCCCCCCTAATATGGAATTCAGAGTGGAAAACACTTTGTATGCCCAACACTGTAGCAAACAAGCTTGGAAGAAAAAACGTGCATTTAGTATCCGGAGAAGCTCAAATTGTTTTTTATGAATTTGACAATTCCTAGGTCACTGAACTGTTGACTACAATTAAGCCACCCTGTGGCAGAAGAAAGACTTATAGTAGCAAGCACGTCCTGTTAAAATCTTCAAAGTCAGAGCTTTTGGAATGGTTTCTTAATGGATTAAAGAGCTCACAGTGAGGCCTGGTTAGTATTTGGAAGGGAGGCTGCCAGGGAATAGCAGAGTTTAGGCTAGACTGGGAATTAAAGAAAAAAAAATTCCAGAAGATAATGGCAAATCACTTCTCTATAGTTGCTGAGAAAGTTGCATGGATGTGTCCAGGAAGTTACTAGAAGCAGGACGTGTATGTGGAAGGAAGTTCTTCCTTTTCATGATGTTGCCACACTATTGCAATCTTAGTCCAAGATCAGTAGTAAAAGGGAATTCTTAATATGTTTCCGAAGTAGGCAACTTTTAGCTTGTGGGCCAAGAAAGTCCCCAACCCTTTTTTTCTGGTCTCCAAGAATTCTGCCATTGAACTTCAGTAGCAAATCCCACATTATTTATGTATTTTTTTAATTAATTATCTATAAAAACAAGAGAGTAAATCCCAAATAATGACAAAATTTCGTATTGGTTTCCAAAAAAATAAGACATGTAAGCTATCAGTTTGGCTTAACTCATCTAAAGTGAGTAAAAACCAAAACCTCACACAGGATCAGCTCTGCCCCTTCATGCAACAGGATGTCTCAGCTGTGGATGGTCAGAATCAATTATTTAATTCCGACCATCTACAGCTGAGACATCCTAGAAGGAGCAATGTCTAGCTCAGTGTTTCTCAACCTTGGCAACTTGAAGATGTGTGGACTTCAACTCCCAGAACTCCCCAGAGGGGCTGGGGGGCTCTGGGAGTTTGAGTCCACACATCTTCAAGTTGCCAAGGGTGGGAAAAACTGAGCCTGTCCATGCTTCCTCTA